CAGAACAATAAAAGAGGGAATAAATGGTGTAGGTATAGAACCTTCTAATGGAGAGGAAAGCAAGGCGATAGCAAATAATAATAGACTGCTTCAAACTTAGGAAGATAAGGATAAATTTCACAGTAACCACAAAGAAAGTTAACATACTTACTCATCAAAATAAAGAAGAAAAACAAAGTCTCAGTAACACCAAAACTTACAAAAACAAAAGAAATGAAAACAAAAATCCACTAACAAAAGGGATTCAGCACACGAGAGTAAGAGGAACAAAGAAAACATGAGCACCACAAATAAAAGCACTACAAAATGACAGCAATAAACTCACACCTATCAATAATTACACTGAATGTAAATGGCCTAAATGCACCAATAAAGAGATGGAGAGTGACAGAATGGATTAAAAAACAGGATCCATCAATATGCTGTCTACAAGAGACACACCTCAGAAACAACGACGTAAATTTTTAAAAATCAAAGGATGGAAAAAAAATCTATCAAGCAAACAACTACCAAAAAAGAACAGGAGTACAATACTAATCTCAGATAAAATACACTTTAAAACAAAATCCACCATAAAGGACAAAAAAGGACACTATATAATGATCAAGGGGATGATCCAGCATGAAGACATAACCATAATAAACATCTACGCACCCAGTGACAGGGCTCCAAGATACATAAACTCTAACAGCACTGAAAAGAGAAATTGACAGTTGCACAATAATAGTAGGAGACTTCAACACACCACTCTTGGTAAAGGACAGAACATTTAAAAAGAAACTCAACAAAGATACAAAAGACCTAAAGGGCACAATCAGCCAACTTGACCTCATAGACATAGATAGAATACTCCATCCTACAGCTGCAAAGTATACATTCTTTTCCAATGCACACAGAATGTTCTCCAGAATAGACCACATCTTAGGCCACAGAGCAATCCTCAACAAGATCCAAACCGCTGAGATAATTCAAAGTATCTTCTCTGACCACAACTCCATCAAGGTAGAAATTAACAACAGAAAGAGCAAGGAAAAAAAATCAATGACATGGAAGCTGAGTAACAACCTGCTTATACATCACTGGATAATAGAAGAAATCAGAGATGGAATAAAAAAATTCCTAGAATCAAATGAGAATGAAAATACATCATACCAAAACCTTTGGGACACAGCAAAAGCAGTCTTCAGAGGACAATTTACAGCAATAGATGCACACATCAAAAAAGATGAAAGGGATAAAATCAAAACATTAACTACAGATCTCAAACAAATAGAAAAAGAACAAAAAAAAGCCTACAGACACCAGAAGAAAGGAAATAATAAAGATCAGAATAGAAGTAAATGAAATAGAGAATAGAAAAACAATAGAAAGAATCAACAAAATCGACAAACTACTGGCCAGACTCAAATAAGAAATGAAATGGGGGACACAATATCAGACCCAAATGAAACAAAAAGGATCATAATAGAGTATTATGAAAAACTATATGCCAACAAATTTGAAAACCTAGAGGAAATGGATAAATTTCTAGAAACACACTACCTACCCAAACGATCACAAAGTGATGCTGAAAATCTGAACAGACCCATAACAAGAGAAGAGACTGAAAAGGTAATAAAAAAACTCCCAACAAAAAAAAGTCCTGGCCCAGATTGCTTCACTGGAGAATTCTAACAAACATTCAGAGAAGAGCTTATACCAGTACTACTCGAACTATTTCAGAACATAGAAAAGGAAGCGACACTTCCAAATTCATTCTATGAAGTCAGCATAACCCCAATACCAAAACCAGGCAAAGATGCCACAAAAAAAAAAAATTACAGACCAATATCTCACATGAATATAGATGCAAAAATTCTCAACAAAATTCTAGCCAATAGAATTCAGCATCATATAAAAAAAATAATACACCACGACCAAGTAGGGTTCATACCAGGTACGCGAGGATGGCTCAACATTAGAAAATCAATCAACGTAACCCACCACATAAATAAAAGGAAGGAAAAGTCACACTATCATCTCAATTGATGCAGAAAAGGCATTCGACAAAATCCAACACCCATTCCTGATAAAAACACTCAATAAAACAGGTATAGAAGGGAAATTTCTCAACATAATAAAGGGCATCTATGCAAAACCAACAGCCAACATTATTCTTAATGCAGAGAGGCTGAAAACATTCCCCTTGAAAACAGGAACAAAGACAAGGATGCTCTTTATCACCACCGCTATTTAACATTGTCCTGAAAGTTCTAGCTACAGCAATAAGGCAAGAAAAAGAAATAAAGGGCATCCAAATTGGTAATGAAAAAGTTAAACTGTCCCTGTTTGTAGACAATATGATACTATACATAGAAAACCCTGAAGACTCCATGAGAAATCTACTGAAACTGACAGAAAGATTCAGCAGAGTAGCGGGATACAAGATAAACATACAAAAATCAGTTGGATTCCTATACACCAATAAGGAGAACGATAAAAAGGAAATCAGGAAAACAATACCATTTATAATAGCCCTTAAAAAAATAAAATACTTAGGAATAAATCTAACCAGGGATGTAAAAGACCTATATGAAGAAAACTACAAAACACTACTGCAAGAAACCCAAAGGGATCTACATAAATGGAAAAACATACCATGCTCATGGATAGGCAGACTCAACATTGTGAAAATGACAATTCTACCCAAAGCAATTTACAAATACAATGCAATCCCGATCCAAATACCAACAACATTCTTTAAAGAGATGGAAAAACTAATCATTAACTTTATATGAAAAGGGAAGAAGCCCCGAATAAATAAAGCATTACAGAAGACTCACACTACCTGACCTCAGAACCTACTATACAGCTACGGTAGTCAAAATAGCCTGGTACTGGTACAACGACAGATACACTGACCAATGGAACAGAATTGAGAAACTCAGAAGTAAATTCATCCACCTATGGTCACCTGATCTTCAACAAGGGCCCAAAATCCATCAAATGGGGAAAAGACAGTCTTTTTAACAAATGGTGTTGGCAAAACTGGATGTCCATTTTCCAAAAAGTGAAACAGGACCCATACCTCACACCATATACAAAAACTAATTCAAAATGGATCGAGGACCTAAATATTAAGCCAAAAACTATAAAGTTCATAGAAGAAAAAACAGGATCAACACTAGAGGCCCTAATACACGGCATTAACAGGATACAAACCATAACCAACAACACACAAACTCCAGAGGATAAGCTAGATAACTGGGATCTTCTAAAAATCAAACACTTATACTCATCAAAAGACTTTACCAAAAGAATAAAAAGGGAACCTACAACAGACTGGGAAAAAAAATTTGGCTATGACAAATCCAACAAAGGTTTAACCTCTAAAATCTACAGGAAAATCCAACATCTCTAGAACCAAAAAGACAAATAATCCAATTTAAATATGGGCAAAGGAAATGAACAGACGCTTCACCAAAGAAGACATTGAAGCAGCCAACAGACACGTGAGGAAATGTTCGCCATCACTAGCCATTAGAGAAATGCAAATTAAAACCACAATGAGATACCATCTTACCCAGGCATTACTGGTACGAATCAAAAAAACTGGAAATAACAAATGTTGGAGAGGCTGCAGAGAAATCAGAACTCTTATGCACTGCTGCTGGGAATGCAAAATGCTACAGCCATTTTAGAAAATGATATGGCACTTCCTTAGAAAGCTAGAAACAGAAATACCATACAATCCAGCAATCCCACTCCTAGAAATATATCCCAGAAAAATAAGAGCTGTCACAAAGTAGACATATGTACACCCATGTTCATTGCAGCATTGTTCACAATAGCAAGAAGATGGAAACAACCTAGATGCCTATCAACAGATGAATGGATAAACAAACTATGGTATGTACACACAATGGAGTATTATGCAACGATAAAGAATAATGATGAATCTGTGAAGCATCTCATAAGATGGATGAAACTGGAGGACATTATGCTGAGTGAAATAAGTCAATCACAAAAGGACAAATATTGTATGAGACATCTACTGTAAAAACTCAAGAAAAAGTTTACACAGAAAAAGAAACAATCTTCGTTGGTTATGAGGGATGAAACGGGTTGGGGGGGAATACCATGTAGACAATACATAAGTGGTAGCTTTGCTGAACGGTAAGACAGTACACAATACTGGGGAAGCCAGCACAACTTGTACAAGGAAAGGTTATGGAAGCTCCATAGACACATCCAAACTCCCTGAGGGACGGACCGAATTGCTGGGCTGAGGGCTGTGGGGACCATGGTCTCAGGGAACATCTAGCTCAGTTGGCATAACACAGTTTATAAAGACAATGTTCTACATTCTACCTTGGTGAGTAGCATCTGGGGTGTTAAAAGCCTGTGAGCAGCCATCTAAGATACTCCACTGGTCTCACCCCTTCGGGAGCAAGGGAGAATGAAGAAAACAAGATACAAGGGAAAGATTAGTCCAAAGGACTAATGGACCACAACTACCACGGCCTCCACCAGACCGAGTCCGGTACAACTAGATGGTGCCTGGCTACCACCACTGACTGCTCTGACAGGGATCACATCAGATGGTCCTGGACAGAGCTGGAGAAAAATGCAGAACAAAATTCTAACTCACAAAAAAAGATCAGACTTACTGGCCTGACAGAGACTGGAGAAACCCCGAGAGAATGGCCTTTGGACACCATTTTAGCTCAGTAATGTCAGTCCTGAGGTTCACTGTTCAGGCAAAGACTAGACAGCCCTATAAAACAAAACGAGACTAATGGGGCACAACAGTCCAGGGACAAGGACTAGAAGGCAGGAGGGACAGGAAAGTTGGTAATAGGGAACCCAAGGTTGAGAAGCGACAGTGTTGACATGTCATGGGGTTGTTAACTATTATCATAAAACAACATGCGTACTAACTGTTTAATGAGAAACTATTTGTTTTGTAAACCTTCATCTACAGTACAATTAAAAAAAAAAAAAAAAGAACACGGTATTACCTTTGTGGGAGGATTATATTTTCCATCTGTAAGAGAACAACTCTGAATTTCCCCACATGCAGCACACAGAAAAGCCATCTTGGTGCAAAGGGGCTTTATATTACTGACTCGAATCACTGTCCCTCGTAGAGCAACGTATTTTCCATAGTAATTTGCTCGGACATTCTTGAGCTGTGTTAAGGGCTCATAGTTGTACACTCTAAAACCAAAAGAAGGAACGTATGTATCTGTGCGTTTACAATGAATAGAAAGTTGAGGTTGTCTGTACTTTTCAAAGTCCTTTTTAGGAGCAACTATGGAATACTCAAACTACATCACCCCTATATATCTCAGAAATCTCACAAGAATAAAATCATTCTTTAAAACAAAAACTGCTAAATTTTCTGTTTGCTTCTTGTCCCACAGGCTGTTCTTTGGGGAAAAAGGAAAATATGCTGCCAAAAGTAAAGCATACAGATTCAACAACTCCTAGGTGTCTAGCTTCTTTTTAAATAACTGTTAGGAAATATCTTTAAATTCCAGAAAGGAAAAACAAAACCCTGATGATTGCCTTATTCCTCTGTCCTAATAAGAATTTAAGGTTTTAAAATACAATAAAGATGAATTCAAGAAAAACAAAATGACTTCTATAACTTCACTTGTTCTCTGGGTCTAGCAGAAACTTAACATATTTTAACAAAATCTAATCACACCAGTTAACATATTACATGGCTTATTAAATTTACACAGCGGTCCTGGTAAGTAAACATCCAAAACTGACATTTACATAAATTTACAAGTTGGGCAATCAACTTATTTGGACAGAAGAGCCTTATTTCAGTTATGTTTCACTTTACTATAATGATCAATGACAGCAAGGAAACTCATTCTCTTTTTACTGATTTCCTTTGCTCTGTAAAATGAGATTTTTTTTTTCTTAGCCAATCTTCAGTGCCCTAGTCTAAATAATATTTTAATACCAGCCATGTCCTCACCTTGCGTGAACATGTGGCACATTTACCATTGTTTCCCCATCACTGGGTAATCCTTCTTGGGCTTGTAATTCAGCTGCATGCCTTTCAAGGTCCTTAGTTAATATCTAAATAGGACAGATATTTACTCAAAAGTTTGAAAACAAAACATTATCTTTAAGCAGAATTTTAATACAGAATATGAATGTTATGAATATAAACACTTCAGAACAGAATATAAACACAACTCTTACAGCCCTTTAAAAATCTGATACTTAATTGTAACTAATCTTACCCTCAGTGAGATGAACTGACACAACAGCCTCAACAACGGGCTTAAACATATCAAATCAAAGACCATGGAGACGGTGCAGGACTAGGCAATGTTTCATTCTGTTAACACATAAGGTCACCAAGAGTCGGAGCCAACTTGACAGCTACTAACAACAATTTTACAGTGGATTATGTTTCACCTGGAATTTTGCTGTCTTTGGGCTGGGAAAGTCCAGCGTCCCTGTCTACCTTCTGTCCCAATTAGACATAATATAAAAGTCCTTATAATAGCCCACAAAACCTTTACCTACCAGATGGGTTCTGGTGAAAAAATATTTTTTTGCTTCTCCATATTCATTAATTAAGCAAATAGAGAAAATAAAGATGTTCCCTGAAATACCCAATACCTGCCCCCTTGACATCTAACATTAAATAAAATATTTAACACCTATTTGTGTACAAAGCAGTATGCTGACAATATAGGAGACAAAATAAGATCCACGCATACAGCTAATAACCATTATAAGAACCATGAAGATTTATAGTCAAAATATGAGTTTTGAAAAGGGGTCATGAGAAAAAGTTTCATGGAGGGGCAACTGAGCTAGACCCAAGGAATATGTATATGCGAGGAGTGGTAGGAGTAGAGAATACTGAAGGGAGCTCAGTTTAGCTGGACTGAAGTGAATGAAGGAGACTAATGGGGAGATGAAGTTGGACTAGATCACGGAAGGCCTTCAATGCCACAAAAAGGATTTGGATTTCATTTCGTAGAAATGAGTTACCAGTTTCCAAACACAGATCATGTTTTACAAAGTACAGCAGTAGCTTGAGAAAGATAATGAAAGCTTAGCCAAAGGCAGAGGCAGTTAAGAACAGAAAGGAAGTGGATTTAAGAGACATTTTAGAAATAGAAATAAAAGCACGTGGTGACAGTTAGACATGGGAAGCTAATGAACAAGATGAGTCTGAAGACAACAGCCAGGGTTTCCAGTCTAGGGTTACAAGCACTGTATACACTTTTGTGATGAACTGTCCCCTTGTGCCTGGATACCCTTACTTCCCCCCTCTAGGTCCAAATCTTAGGTACTCCTTCAAGACATATCATTAACTCACCACCTCTATAAAGTCTTCTTTTGAGCACTTGCTGTTCCTTACCCCATAATTGAGGATCTTGTCTTTAGCCTAAGAATGCATCCAGCACTTCATCTGTGCTTCTTCTGAGGTTTACTACTCTTTACCTGGAAGCACTTACCTGTTTGCCAGTCTAAAAACTGCTTTCACATATGTTCTCATCTTATCCTGAGAAAAACTCAGGTAGACATGGTACATTTATTATTTTCATTTTCTATATATGGAACACTCAGGGAGGTTAAATAACTTCCCACATGCCACAGAACCTAGATTGGAGGTTGGTCTTTTTGTTCCATGTTCATTACCGATACACTGTGATGCCTTATCTCATCTTCTCTATGAGAGCGTACAGCTCCTTGAGATAAGGTTTAATTTCTGCACCATTTTTACTTAGATTAAACTAATTCAAGTAAGTTAGAAGTAAATCTGATATTTAGGTAAGTTGCTGTATATAGAACAAATAGTATCTTTTAGGATAGGATTGCCACCTCAGATCTAGCCAACATCTCTTGGTTAATAGCAAAGTATCTTTTACAGAAGGTATTGCCACTGTAAAATCTTCCTTTAAAATTTTGACAAAAGTCCACATGAAGTAAATATTTACCTGATGTATTGCCAGACCCATGCAAGCCAAGGTTTTCTCAGGCGTATCCCTTAGTTCATTTGCTATATTTGGTATCAAGTTAGTGATTTCGTCATCTTTTGTCAGCTCCTTAAAATCCACCAAAATACTTCCCTTTCTTTCTATTTCATCCTATAAAATGTTAACGTATGGAAACAGTCATTGTTTTTCAGAGTCAATTATCACATTAAGTGTTCTATTATATACTTTGAGAAAGCATATAACATGTATATGGTGATAATGATAAAAACCATAAGCTTTTTGCCAAGCACAGTTCTAATATTTTAGATATGTTCATTTACGCTTCTTAGGATCCCTATGAAATAAGTATTAACACTACTATCTCCAGCTAATAGATGAAGAAACTAAGGCACAGAGAAGTATTCACCAAAGTCCATACTGCAGGTAAGTGGCAGACCTGGTATCTCAACCAAGGCAGTCTGACTCCAGTATCTACGATAACAAGCACTAGCACCTCAAACACACTGTTCGGTAAAATGACACATAAAGGCAGACTAATAGCTTCGTTGTGCAGGAATCTTACCTTATCATATAAATCAATGCGCCTTGTGAAAAAATTTTCAAATGCTTGAATCTTCTCAATAAAAGGAGAGCTATCGCTGTAAACTAATTCAACAAATATGGCATTAGGACTAACATGAAAAATATGAGCATATTTTTCATGAGACAGAAGAAAACACTATATACATACTAGAGGATTTTTTCCAAGTGCCTTGGTATTCCAACTACATTTAGAAAAAAACTGGTTTAGAATGTATACTTAAGATTCTAAAACAAGTTTAGATTTGCATAATCTGAAATACAGGCAGGAAATATGCCTCTCTAAAAGCACCAATAATCTAGGAATCTTTATATTGAATTATAAACACCTAATAAGACATATTAGTTCAAACAGCTTACATGATAATGTTTAAACCAAAAATTATAATAAAGTTAAAGCCAGATACATGAATTAAACTCTTATTCTGAACACTGCTGAAGACAATCAGTCTTTGCAAAGTAAATTCTACTAGTCCAAATTGCCACCTGTAAAATCCCTTCCTAAAATTAGGTGAGAGACAGACCATAGTCTACTATGGTCCCGAAATTGTAAAGCTATATTTTACACTATAAAGTTGTATAACATCTTAGAATTGATCTTCCACAGAGAAGCAACACAATGAAGTAGCCTGGAACAGTCCAAAAATCACTTACAGTGTTTGAACTAACTGCTAGAGGAATATCAGGAGTGTGACTGGCTAATGCATCCTAAAGCAAGGAAAAGCAAGATCACCAATGAAACACATGTCTATTTAACACAAAGAAACAGACTCTCAATGCAGAAAACACTTATACAACACTTTATTCATTCACAACATAAATATTACCAAGTGCAGTCTAACAGGGAAAAGACTCAGATTAAAAGACAAAATAAATAAAACAAAAACCCATAATTCATAAAAGACACAGCAAAGATACAGGTACTATAACAGCACAGAAAAGAAAACAGTTCTCTGAATCTATATAGGCAGATGGATGAAATTAGCTGGTGTTCTTGATTATAAAAGGAAAATTCCTTAATAAACTGTGTTTCCACGCAAACCTGTGCTGGTTATTGTCTGTCCATTCCAAGTCCACCCTCCTACTCTCTGCTGTTTGCTGCTATGAATGGGATCTGCATACTGCATTTCCCAGACACCTCGGCCAGACTTCCTTTAGGTTCTACCAATGGGACACACTTTAGACAGATGAGAAGGTGACAGAGAAGAAAGAAATTCATTCTTGTTTCCAACCCCGTTTAGCATCTCTCCAGCTGCAAAGGACAGCTACAGTTCCAGTATCCAGCTCCAAGTACCACCCACACCATGCCCTACTAGCGGCACCAGCAGTAGCCAGCTTCATTCCTCTTAGTGGTCTGAGCACAGCTTCTTAGGGTGCCCCTCAGAGGTCTCAGCAATAGCTATGCTGTGGTCCCACCTTTGAATTCCTACATTCTGGTAAACTCAGAACTTCTTTATTGTTCCCTAAGCAAAATAGGAATGGTAGCTGCTTCCTGCAGTTACTGTTATCTGGGGGGTTACCTCAGTGTTCCCTTTTTGCTCTTTCAGTCTTCCATCTGCATACACAATTCCCTGTATTAAATCCTCTTATTGAAATACCTAGTGTGGTTTCTGTTTTCCTAACTGAAACAAAATCTACATATAATGCTCCAAAAACCTAAACATGATCTAAATGTTTGGGTGAATTAAGACAGCAGAAAGGAGTTATATTATCAGTAAGCTCAATGAATTATAATGAGATGTAGCATCCAAAGATCAAGTTACGGAAATATAATTTATGGTCTTTTTCAAACTTTTAGCTCTACCTTCAGAGAAATAAAACTTCCAGCCTTTATATGGTATGAACTGATCCAATGTTGACTGTAGTAGCAAAGACTGTGGGGTTTGTTCTATAAAAAAAAAAAATACTAGGTTAGCAGAAATAGAGCAGAATTATTTTTCCAAGTTGCTTCTCCTTTCAACAATGAGAACCTAATATAACATTAACAGAATATCTGAGTTAGGGATGTCAGTAAAAACTTTACATGTTAAAATTCAAATACTAGCTAAGGAGTAGTATCAAATAAAAGACAGACTGAGATCTGAGTAAAACTGTCTGGTATGAGAGGCATGAATAGCTTCCTTGATGAACAAAAAACAAAAGTGAACAATCCTTGGCCTCACCTACCAGAAGTACGTTTCCCTGTGGTTTTACTTAGGTCAGGTCTGCATTCTCTTTCTCTCCACTTTCCTGAACAGTTTCCACCACCTCTTCTTCTTTTCCAGCTTTGAAATCTTCCGTGTCCAAATCCTCTGCCTCTATACTCTCCACTCATACCTTCTAAAAGAAAAGATTAGAAAAGTCTTCACCAAAACTGTAAGGGAAATAGTCTCACGAAAAATTCATTAACATGGTTGCTGTGCAATGGATTGCTTTTGTGTGGCCTTGTAACTCCCACCCAGGTGGTTGGGTAAGACTGTGAAGATAGGGTAATTGTGGCCCACCAAAGGGATTGGTCAGTTTTGTCATCCTGCTGGGCTTGAAAAGAGCCACCCCAGAGGAAGGAAAGAGAGGATCCCACCATCATCAAGGAAGAACAGCCAGGAGCAGAGAGTGTGTTCTTTGGCCCCAGGATCCCTGCACTGAGAAGCTCCTGGATCCGGGAGGGAGAGAGCAAGCTGTAACCCTGAAGATGGTGAGAAGCAGTGGCAAAGAAACGGCAGCAGGAGAGACTAGGAGAGACCGGCAGGAGACCAGCCCGTGGAGCAGGAAAGCTGAGTGCCTTTGGGCCAAGGCTTATTGGTGGAGTGGGGTGCCTCTGGACACTCACTGGCAGGGGCTAAAAGAGCTTTGTAACACTTGCCTGAACAGGGCAGATGACTAAGGCCAGAGAGAGGTGTGCCTGCAAGCATGGCTGGGAAGAGGCTGTCCTGATGGAAGAACTGTATCTTGAGTTCCTGAGCCTAAACAGTAACCTGTTACTTCCCTAATAAACCCCATAATAATGAGTATTGTCAGTGAGTTCTGTGTGGACATTGCAATGAATTATCGAACCTGGCAAAGAAGTAGAGAGTGCTGTGGGAGGGACAGTTGGTGTCAGAACTGGTAAAGCTGGCAGAGGGAGGAGGCATGCCTGACCTCCGCCTCATAGGAATTAGCCTTGGGCTATTAATCTTGATTCTCCTTTCCCCTTGTGAAGAGAGAAGAGGTCAGACTCTGCCTCCAAGCCATTTTTACAATGGTAAATAAGGGAAAATTCCAGTTTAAGACTAGCAAATAGGCTTGCAACTTTGTCCATCATGGTACAAGCTCCAAACACTCTGCAGTTACTCTTCTATTCCCCACCTCTTTTTAAGGTAGACCATAGATGCGTTAATGCTGAACCAAGTATATGCTAGATGCTCGTGGGATAAAAATAAAAAGTACTGTATCTGTAAGGAGCTCCCATGCTAGAAATGAAAATAAGGCAGGCAATTAACTCTAAGATATCTTGTTTGCAGTGTTTTGAGACTTGTTATAAGCCAGTACTGGCAAAACATAATCTCAATCAGTAAGACACTAGGAATACATCATTACAATTTCTTACAGACAGCCAGTCCTGCAGCATCATATCCATTTTTATCAGAAATACATTGACGATTCAGCCTTTCCTTCTTCTCTGTAGAGGCCAAAGTGGGAAAGAAGTTAATTTTCCCAGGGATTTACAACTGTCTTAAAAAGGTATCAGAAGCAAGATCATTTCTAGGTCACTACTGATTAACGAGCTCTCTGAAGCTTTTAGCGAAAAATTTCGAAATTTAACAGGATTTTTTTTTTTTTAAAAAAGTGTATCTATATATGCTAATGGAGCCCTTGTGGTGCAATGGTGAAGAAGCTTGGATGCTACCCAAAAGGTCAGCAGTTCAAATCCACCAGCCGCTTCTTGGAAACCCTATGGAGCAGTTCTACTCTGTCCTACAGGGTTGCTATGAGTCGGAATCGACTCGATGGCAATGGGTATACGTGCTAATGTACTATAATCTCTTTTCTTCTCTAGCCACTCATTTTTCTATTTTGTACATAGGGAGATAATTTGCTTTTATTAAAAAATCAACAAAGATAGTTCCCCCACTGAATAGCAATAAACCGAAATGAACGATCTTTGAAAAATGCTTTTTTTTAAAGAAAAAATTCATACCCTAATGATAAAAATGTAATGACATCAGGGACATCATACATGAAGAATGCAAGAGGTCATTAAAAAGCAGGAAAGAAAGAAAAGATCACAATGGATGTCAGAAGAGACTCTGAAACTTGCTCTTGAAGTAGCTAAAGAGAAAGGAAGAAATGAGGAAGTAAAAGAGCCGAACAGAAGATTTCAAAGGGTGACTCAAGAAAACAAAGCAAAGTATTATAATGACATGTGCAAAGACCAGTAGATAACCAAAACGTAAGAACATGCATAGCATTTCTCAAGCTGAAAGAACTGAAGACAAAATTTAAGCCTCCAGTTACAATACTGAAGGATTCTATGGGGAAAATATTAAACAATGCAGGAAGCATCAAAAGAACATGGAAGGAATACACAAAGTCATTATACCGAAAAGAACTGGTCAACATTCAACCATTTCAGGAGGTAACATATAATCAGGAACCAGTGGTACTGAAGGAAGAAGTCCTAGCTGCACTGAAGGCATTGTCAAAAAACAAGGCTCCAGGAATTGATGGAATACCAACTGAGATGTTTCAACAAACAGATTCAGTGTTGGAAGTGCTCACTCATCGATGCCAAGAAATTTGGAAGACAGCTACCTAGCCAACCAACTGGAAGAGATGCATATTTATGCCTATCCCAAAAAAAGTGATCCAACTGAAAGCAGAAATTATCAAACAATATCATTAATATCACATACAAGTAAAATTTTGCTGAAGATCATTCAAAAGCGGCTGCAGCAGTCTACGGACAGGGAACTGCCAGAAATTCAAGTCAGATTCAGAAGAGAACATGGAATGAGGGATATCATTGCTGATATCAGATGGATCCTAGCTGAAAGCAGAGAATACCAGAAAGATGTTTCCCTGTGTTTCATTGACTAGGAAAAGGCATTCAACTGTGTGGATCGTAACAAATTGTGGATAACTCTGGGAAGAACGGGGAATTCCAGAACACTTAAGTGTGCTCATGAGGAACCTATACATAGATCAAGAAGCAGCTGTTCAAACAGAACAAGGGGATACTTCATGGTTTAAAGTCAGGAAAGGTGTGTGTCATGGTTGTATCCTTCCACCATACTTATTCAATCTGTATGCTGAGCAAATAATCCGAGGCCGAACTATACGAAGATGAACTCAGCATCAGGACTGGAGGAAGACTCATTCACAACCTGCATTATGCAGATGACACAACCCTCCTCGCTAAAAGTGAAGAGGACACGAAGCACTTACTGATGAAAAGCAAAGACCACAGCCTTCAGTATGGATTACATCTTAACATAAAGAAAACAAAAATCCTCATAACTGGACCAATAAGCAACATCATGATAAATGGAGAAAAGATTAAAGTTGTAGAGAATTTCATTTTACTTGGATCCACTATTAACATCCACAGAAACAGCAGTCAAGAAATCAAAAGACGCATTGCACTGGGCAAATCTGCTGCAAAAGACCCCTTTAAAGTGTTAAAAAGCAAAGATGTCACCTGGAAGATTAAGGATGGTGTTTTCAGTCACTTCACATGCATGTGAAAGCTGGACAATGAATAAGGAAGACCAAAGAACTGACGGCTTTGAATTGTGGTGTTGGTGAAGAATACTGACTATACCACGGACTGCCAAAAGAACAAACAAATCTGTCCTGGAAAAAGTACAGCCAGAATGCTCCTCAGGAGCAAGGATGGCCAGTCTACAGGTTATCAGGGGGGATCACATTGTCAGGAGGGATCAGCCCCTGGAGAAGGACATCATGCTTGGTAAATTAGAGGGTTAGAGAAAAACACGAAGACCTTCAACGAAATGGATTATCACCATGACTGCAACAACAGGCTCAAGCATAACAACAACTGTGAGGATGGCGCAGGACCGGGCAGTGTTTTGTTCTGTTGTACACAGAGTCACTATGAATTGGAATCAACTCGATGGCTCCTAACAACAAGGATAAAATAAGTAAGACTATATCCATACACTGTAGTGCACGTTATTATGAGAGCCTATTCAAATGTTTATTTAAAGAGATTTAATTAGTTAATAACTAAACAAGTTCATGATTTTCAGGCAAAACAAGATTTTGGTAATCATCTAGCTCACATTACACGTTAAGAAACTGAAGCCCAGAGGTGGGGCCAAGATGGCGGAGTACTCAGACACTTCCAGTGAACCTTCTTACAACAAAGATCCAGAAAAACAAGTGAATCAATTATATATCACAATCTAGGAGCCCTGAACATCTAAGGCAAAGTTGAGGAACTGGACTGAGTTGCAGGTGGAGGGAGAGACAGTTCAGAAGCAGTGAGGAGTTGCCAGACCTGACCAGGTGAGAGCCTGAGCCCTTCAGGCCTGAGTAGCTCAAGGGTGAGCGGTGAGACAGGCAAGTGGCAGTGCTGGGGAGGTGTGCTTTCCACACCGGGAGAGACTCAGTGCCAGAGAGTCTACTCGGCCACCCAGAACCAGTGAGAAGCAGCCCTTGATCAGTGAAAGGTAAGCACTTGCATACAGCCTACTGCGTGGATCAAAAACACCCCCCTCAGGGAAATCCCTCTCTCCCATTTACCTCCCCGCTCCCTGCTCTGCACTAGGTTCCAGATCGGCTTCAGCAATTGCTGAGTCACCTGGGTCAGAAGTAGGATCCATCACACGCCCTGAACCATTCTCCCGGCTTTGAAGTGTGAACAAATTAACAAACAGGAAAAAATAAACTGCCAGCTCCCCTAAGCCAGGAACCCAGGATAGGCACAGGCCTTGGGCACAGGCAGAAGGGATCCACCGACTGAGTGCCTTTCCCCCTGCAGAGACTTGCATGGGCCCATTTCAACAGCATAGGCCCTCATTACCACAGTACAACAGGGTATATATTGGAACTCTAACTTCAAATGTTTCAGCTGTGAAGTAGCAGGTTCTTGACATTTGACACTGCTCTGCCCCATTAAGCAGGGTCTTCACCTACCCACATCAGGGGCCTGAGGACTGGTGGCTCCACCCACGCCATCAAGCCACCTGCGATAGGGCCCAAAAATAAGAGGTGCCACCCAGTCCTTACAGTCAACAGCACTGGGTGCTCATAGTCTGGCTGCAAAACCCACCCACCTACGCGCTCTAGGGAACAGGGACACACCTTCCTCCCGGACACTCAGGGGCAGCCGTCAGCCC